TGAGTAGCAACACTCATATATCATGGGCAGTTGGTTTAAGTTAACGAATTGTTTCTCTTATGTTTGTTAATAATTTATTGCCATTAAGCGAGTCCTTAAATCAAATAGTATATGTTCTAGAATTGTCTTTATTATAAAATTATTCACTTTCTAGAATTATTTTGAATTAGAGAGTATTTTGACTTTTATAATAAATCAAAATGTCAATTAATAGATTATTTGAGACAAGCTCTTTCTCTAGTCTTTTCCACTCATCAAAGATTCTCCTACAGTAATATTAGTTTACTTTTCATGTGTCCTATAGGACCATGTCTGTCTTAATTTTTTCTTCGTCATATTTGAATAATATTGGTCCTAGATTTTGGCTTAAAAAGAAAGAGAAATTAGTTCAAACTTTGAACTAGACGATGTTAAAATCGAATACGATATAGTCTTACGAATACAACATGGTACTTTTCTTTTTCTTGCATTGGATATTTTGAATACATCCAACGAGTAACTAATAATCCTGTTATACAGAAAAAAGTCATTATCATGCCCTTTTCTGATGAATCGTAGAATTTTATGATTACATATATATAGCTTTAATTGATTTAAAATCCTTAATGCTTAGTGAGAAAATATCTATATTAATTTATAAAATGTATGATTCTTTTCCATAAACTTCACTGTATTTGGTTTTGCTAGGAATATGGATATTCTTTCCTGTTTACATGCATTGAATATTCTGTGTTAAATATAATCCCTATTTGGTAGTGATTAAAATTCAAATTTAATAATTAATTTTATCCACATATTTAATGGGATTCATAATTTTTCACCAAAAAATTTAATCAATTTTTATCAAAATTTACTAAACGTCTGATTTTAATCCCCACTAAATAGAGCCGCAATATTATTTTAACATAAAATATTTTTTATTTCGTGAAAACTAGTAATTTATTTATTTATTTATGTTTTATTGATCAGGTGATTTACATTGAAAAAGATAATAATTATGAAACTGTAGTTGTGATGGAATCCAACAATATATAAGGTTAAAATACCCCCACGAACCCTAAATTTATCTCTAAACATTAATTGATCCCTTTAAAATATTTTTAATTTTAGATAAATGAATTCTAAAAGACTACTGAGATGTACACAGATCGAGATTCAATAATTCAAATGAAAATTCGATGATTTACTCATGATTAAATCAAATATTGATTAATATGTGAATTAAATGCTTTTTTATTGACAAAATAAACATGTATAATTTAATGTGACACTAAAATCAAATATAATCTAATGTGACGATTATTCATGATGAACGGAATATTCGATCAACACGTGGATTTAATGCTTTTTAACAAAAACCATGTATCATCTAACGTGACATTAAAATAGCATATAATCTAATTTGATTATAATAATTAAAAAAATTTGGACATGTCAGAATTATTAAACAAAATTAATGTATTAAGATCTTGTCAATAATAGCACTTCAAGTCAAATTCAAATTATAAATTCAATTTAAAACGTAATCTTGGCCAACTTGGTCCCGAAGAAAAGTTTACGTGGAGAAGAGTCGCAACCCGTAGCCTTGGAACCCAAGAAAATACCAAGAAAAAATATTTCTCGAAGCTAATGTCAATTTATCATCTACTTCCAAAATAATCTCGTTTTCTTGAGCCCCTAGTCCAGCCAAATTTCGTTCACCCTGCCACCACCAGGACGGTGTTGCAGCCAAGTCTCCGTCGTCTATTTAGGAGCGGAGTCAAGAATTTAGTCTGTCTATCCAAACTATGGATCACTTCATGGAACAAATCACAAATTTCAACGTTACCCAACCCACGGCTTCTATGGGCTTCACCGAAAATGGGTCAGCCACTTTTTTTGTCTTCGGGCAATCCTTGTCTAGATTTCTTTTTCCATGTAGTCCCAGACACACCCCATGAAACTCTCCATAAACTTTTGAAACTATCTTGGGACCATGATTCTTTGACAACCTTAAAATTGGTGGGAAATTTGAGGGGTGTTAGAGGCACTGGCAAATCAGATAAAGAGAATTTCTACGCAGCTGCACTTTGGATGCATCAATACCATCCCAAGACATTGGCATGCAATATAGGGACTTTCGCAGAGTTTGGATACTTTAAGGATCTTCTTGAGATCCTTTATAGGCTTCTTGAAGGGCCCGAGACTCGACGAAACAAGAAGATGGAGTGGATAGAGAAGAAAAGACAAAAGACTAGAGTGAGAAGACTTTATTTTCTTAAGAAAAAGGAAGAGAAAGAAGAGGATTTGGCCGAGGTGGAGAAGAAGAAGATGTTGAGAGCTAAAGTGCCGAGAGAGGAAAGAATCGAGGTGAATATGAAGAAAGTTAAAGGAGGAAATGGAGAAAGCAAGAGAATTGAGAAAATTGAAAGTGTTCGACATGGCAAAAAAGGCCTCCGAAAAGTATGATCAAGATGCAAATTACAGATTCTTGCACGATCAGATTTCAACGAAATCCCTTTTCGCGAAGGTACTGAAATCTGATATTGAATTCTTGAACTCTGGTGACATTAAAAGTTTAAGTCTTGCAGCAAAATGGTGTCCCACTATTGATTCATCATATGATAAGGCCACTTCGATATGCAAAAGCATAGCTGAAAAAATCTTTCCGCGTGAATCTACCGCGGAATCTGAAGGCCTCAGTGAAGAACAATATGTTTATAAGGTGAAAAACAGGCTGAGAAAAGAAGTGCTTGTGCCATTGCATCAGGCTTTAAAATTGCCTGAGGTGTTTATGAGTGCAAAGCAATGGGAACTTGTTCCTTACAATCGGGTTGCATCTGTTGCAATGAGGAATTACACTGATATTTTCTTACATCGTGACAACAAAAGATTCAGGGAATATCTTGAGAATGTGAAGGTGGGGAATGCGAAAATTACAGCAGGAGCATTGTTACCTCATGAAATAATTGCCAAGTTGAAAGGTAGTAGTGGAGCAGCCATAGTTGCTGATCTTCAATGGAAAAGAATGGTTGATGACTTGTTAAAAAATGGGAAATTAACAAATTGCCTTGCAATTTGTGATGTTTCGGGCAGTATGTTTGGGACACCAATGGACGTGGCAGTTGCGCTTGGACTACTAGTTTCTGAACTTTGCGAAGAACCCTGGAAAGGCCATGTGATCACCTTTAGTGCATATCCAGAGCTTCACTTGATTAGAGGGGGCAATCTTAGGTCGAAAACAGAGTTCATTAGAGAAATGGATGCTGGTATGAATACTGATTTTCAAAGAGTATTTGACAAGATTTTGGAGTTGGCAGTTAGCGAAAACTTGCCTGAAGAGAAGATGATTAAGAGGGTTTTTGTATTTAGTGATATGGAGTTCGACATAGCCTCTGTGAGTCCATGGGAGACGGATTATATGGTGATACAGAGAAAATTCCAGGAAAAAGGATACAAAAACGTGCCTGAGATAGTATTTTGGAACCTTAGGAACTCATCTGCTACTCCTGTGACAGCTACACAGAATGGGGTGGCTCTTGTTAGTGGATTTTCCAAGAATCTGTTAAAACTTTTCTTGGAGGAAGGTGGGAATATTAAACCTGAAGATGTAAGGAATTTGTCTGGTGAAGATGTGAAGGCAGAATCATCAAATCCAGAAGCTGTAATGGAAGCTGCTATATCTGGTGAATTGTATCAGAAACTTGTTGTTCATGATTGATGTATATGATAAATTGATTAATATTAAATTCAAAAACATATCTTAAACTTTTTATCGAACAATGTTCGTAAAATAGGTGACAACAAGACTTGGATTCAGAACATCTGAATGCGATACAATGTTACACCAGTTGATCTGAAGGATGAAAGCTGAAAAGGCCCAAGTCACATGATATTAAAACAAGATCTAAAAGAATCAATCTCAAACAGAAAGTAAAGTTGCAGAAAATTAAAAGATTGAACACAAGATTTATTTCGGCCTAAGTCTCGGAGGTTCGGCGACCAAATCTAACACCTACGTCCCCCGTTGAGCATCCAAAAATAGATATACACTCGGTTGCAATAACAGGCCCAAAATGGCAACGATATTACAGACCGTTCTTCAAATACAATAGAAAGGCACAAAAACACTTATCTCTAAACACCAAACTGGAGATCGAACAAAGGAATCACAAAAGATAGCCTTCAACAACCTACTGTACTACAAGACTTCAAGAAACCATTTATTCTCACAGCTATCACAAAGACAACAGATTACAGAGGTTTAACCATGAGTTTTCACGTAAATCTTGTATTCAAGTTATTATTTTATATTGCCTATTCTTGTTTTTGCAAACATAACTATTTTTCTCAACAAATAAAAATATAAAATTTAAATTCATTGCACGATTATGAAAGTCGAACTCACAGTCACTCGAATATGTCACATATTAAGCTTCTTATACAAGGGATCTTTGACAAGGACTGAGGTGCATCCACTTTAGTCCCCCCTATCAAAATCCCTGTGTAGAGCTGCTATGTGAGTAGCAACACTCATATATCATG